GACTTAATATTCTATTAAAAAGCTTTCCAATTGCACTTGTTATTGTTATTCCTCTATAATTGTTAGGGTCACTTGTATCGTTGCTTTTAAAAATTGGTGTAATATAACCTTCAGCCCAAGATGTTGGGTATATACCTGAAGACAGACAAGTATTAAACATCTGTTGAAAACTTTTTAAAAGGAAAGTCTGTCCATTCTTTATCATATTATTACTAATGTTATCCAAGCCTGATGATTTATTGCATTTTAAGTGTGAAATGGCTTTGGATATTTCAGACTCAGTGATAACGGAGTCCAACTCGTTGAAACATTTTGAGTTTTCTAACTGTTTCAGTTTTTCACATAGCTCTGTATATCTACTTTGAAATTCACCTTTCAGTTGTGACAACTTTTGGAAATGTGATATCAAAGTTGATGGTTGTACTCCACATTTTTTTTTAGTTTCATTTTTTTCCTGTAGTTCATTAATTAAGTTCCAATACAGTTTTGGATTCTCTTCGTGCAAGGAGTCCAGCTGACTAATCAATGATTGTTTGTATTGTTTGTATTTATATTTCCTTAGTTTGGAGTATTCACGATTCAGTTTATAAAAGTGATTTTTGATAATTGGATCATATGGAAATCTTGAATAAATTTTTCCATAATTAAGCAAGTTAGTTCGAGCTTGTTGTAAACTTGCGTCAAACCACTTTTTGTTTTTTTGTTTGTTTGTGTGTTTTTTTAAAGGTCGTTTAAGTGATAGATTTGCTGCTGATAAAAAGATGTTTGAAAGTTTTGATGATGCTTCATCTACTGATGTCTGAGTAAATTGAATTGTGCTGTTGTTGAATTCTAGTATGTAGTTTTGTAGTGTATCTGAAGAAAGTGTTTCTTGAAATTTTATTGCTGAACAGTCAGTCCAGATATAATTAGGTGTCATATTTTTCAACTGGATTGGAATATCATTTTCTCCAGGAACACAATATTTGCAGATAATTCCCACTCAAGTTTACAATGACAATCAGATAATGTGGGAATAAATCTGGATACTTTAAAATACAGTACATTTTCAAGAATTTCTTCCGACACAGCAACATAATCAACCACACTTGCACCATTGGGGGTATAGCAAGTAAAATTACCAAATGTATCACCAAGAACTCTGCCATTTAAAATTCTTATTTGTTTACTAATGCAAAAATCCAAAACTTCTTTGCCTCTTTGATCAATTTTTTGGTCTCGACTTTTTCTTGTCATAATGTTTTTGTCAGTAGGGTATGTATCAAAAATTGGAGTAAATTTTGAATCATCGTTTACTATAAAGTCATTTTCAGAGCCTATTCTGGCATTAAAATCTCCACATAACAAAATTTCACCCATTTTTTTATACTGAAAGATATCTTTTTCTATGCATTCAAAAACATCAGAAGAGAGTTCTTGGGTATATTTAGACGTAACAGGGGGGTTGTACAGTACACAAATAAATAGGTCACTTTTAAATCCAAAAAAGGATTTTTCTAATTTAATCCATTGATAATCTGGATTACTGTTAATCAATATTTTGACATGAGGTTTAACGTGACTTTTCTGTAGAATTGCTATACCCCCAAAATGACGGTTATTATTTGATAATTTTCTACATATTGGATGATAATGAAATTTACCAATATTGTGTATTTGGGAATTATATCCCACATGAGTTTCGACTAAAAAAACAATGTCGTAATTCTCTATATGTTTCAGAAAAAGGGGATCCTCTGCTTTATTCATGCCCTTTGAAAATAAGCCACCTATATTCCAATAACCAAATTTTACAGATGATTGGTTTGATTTTGGCATTTTGGTTGATACAATTAAATCTGGTATAAATAATAGAATAGATTTTCTATCTATAAAAAAAAAAATAATAAAAATTTGTCTCTAAATAAAAGGAAGAGACAACAAGGAAAATATTCAGAAATGTAAATATTTGAAATAAGTAGATTTATTTAGAGGATAGTTTTTACAATGGTTTTCTAAATACAAATAGTCTATGATATAATGACAGATAATTTCTTTTCTATGTATCCTCTTTTAACTGAATAACTATTAAACTGATTTGGGTTGAATAACCTGATATCCTGGGTTAATTCAAGATCAAAAGTATGATTCAAATGTGAAAACTAAAAATAAAAATGAATAAAATAAAATAAAAAAGGCGAACTTTTATACCTAGCAGAGGTTACATATATATGACCATGTAATAGTGTGACTTCTTCACATAATGGCTGTTTCATTTGAAAAATCTATTCAAATGTGAATATGAATTTATCAGCCCAAAAAAAAGAAGAAATATATAAAGTTGTACATGTATATATAAATTATATGTAAATGACTTTAAACATGTTAAAGGAAGTCAACATAATGATATGGTAATATGTATAATATTAAAAAGCAAGTTATTCATGATGACCTCTGCCACGTCCACGTCCACGTCCTCTTGTGTTGCGCGATTTGGATCTACCTCTTGAATTTGGCATGGGAATGTTTAAGGCAGTGTGTATTCCACGCTTTAAGTTTGCCGATAGCTGAGACACGCCAGAGTCAGAGAGATGAAATTTATCTTCACTTAGTAGCTCTGCAATTGGGTTTCCATTTCGCAACATATTGCCATGATCAACAAGTAGAACATCTTTATTGTCATCATATATTTGTTTCAACAAGGCATTTATGATTTGTCCATTTGTGTTGAAAATTACACTGTCGAGTCGAGGAGTAGTAAGAGAGATGATGCAACCACTATTTTGCCATTTTTGAAGTGCAAGCTTGACAATATCTTGTATTTCTTCTACACATTGCTGTGGTGATTTTATTTTCAAATCATTCGTCAGGGAATGAAACACTCACAGATTTGGAATTATATCCGATATCTCCAAAATAGCTTGTTTAGTTTCTTCTAAATTGAAAGCAGTAACCTTATTGGTTGTAAATGATGGCGATAGCTTCTCTGCATTGATACGTTTGGTATTGGATGTACCAATTAAAATAATTGTTGGTTTGTTATCAATGTCAAGTTTAGATTTGTCAGTATATTTCGTGTCTGCATTAACAAGATGAAAATCTTCAAATCGAGAAATCATTTGGGAGCGGAGAGAGATATTTTCTTCTTGTAATTTCTCCAAGTGTTGAGTATGTCGTTTTAGAGTATCAGTTAGTTTGTCAATTTCTTCATTTTTGGTTTGTAGGCTTACCGATAGAAAGTCGATCTCAGAGTTTGAAGTAGTTAATACCTTTTTCATTTCTGCTCTAGTCTCCTCCAGTATTTGATTGTGACATTTCATTTGATCTTCAGCAGTTAATACTTTGCTGAAGTTTTCATTGTGACTGTGTTCTATTTTATCCAGCGTGTCAACTAAATTTAATTCAAGCCTTTGAAAATCATCTTTTTGAGGTTGATCTTCTTGTACTAGTACTGATTTTAACCCAGTCTGGGAGTCAGGTAATACACAAGTGACCTTGTCAACAGGGCATAATTCATTAATGTGTGTATTGTTATTGTCATCATGACATTCGTGTGAAATACATGTATTAGTAGGACTGGTTAGTGATATGTTTGTAAGAACTTTATCAAGAATATCTTTCAGAATTGGAAAATGAATATCCACAAACTCATAATAATGACTGCCTTGTACTCTTATTGTTCCTGTTGTGACAAAAAATGTAATATTAAATTGAAGTTCCCCCTTTTTTAATACTTCAATCATCACAGAATTTCCACTGTTGTTTCGGTTTTCCCATGTTTTGGGTTCGTCATACCATTCAATATCATAATCAGGTTCCTTTCCAAGATTGTCATAATAGTAAATATCTAGTGTTTTTATCCATGGTTGGATTCTGTCAAGGTTTGTGTAGAATGTGATGATTTTAGCATGTTCATCATACAAGTTTGGGTCAATTTGCTCGAAAAGGCTTAATTTTGCTTTACCAGTCCTCTTGTTTTGCTTTGATGGGAGAGATGAAAGAGGATAGTCATTAATGGTTTTGTCCATCGATAGGTCAATTTTCAATTTGCCTAAATCTACCATGATGACCGGCTTGTAGTCAACACGTGTTTATATAGTTATATGTGCACACACGTAAATCAGCGTAAATAAATGTTTGTAAATATAATTGATCGATCGGAAGTTATCTTAGTGTTTCTTCCTCTCTGATATAAATATTTGGTGTATTTTAAATGATGGAAACTGTTAAAAAACCCAGGATTCTCAGAATATTTTACCAGTGAATTTTTCCACCAACCGCCATTAATCAGCTGTATATATAGAAGTGTAATTTAGTATGCCTAGGATTCATCATGACATAATTCCTAAGCAAGATCCTGTATACTTTTTGTTTAACATCTTAAAACTTTTAACTTTTTATATCATGTATATATAGAAGTGTAATTTAGTATGCCTTGATTTTGTTTCAATCAGATTTTTAAATCCCTCTTTTGCTATGTAAGATGAACTGATGAAGTTGACCCTTCCAAGTTTACCATGTTATGGTAAAAATATTGCTGTTAAAATACATTTTTTACAGTCAAACATTTAGTTGGTAAAATTTTGTAAAGACTCATTTAATAAGAATTAAGATTTGTTTTAGTAATAGAAAATATATATTTATGTCTTATGGATGTAATTACTTCTTTTATCTGGATGGGAAGGAAATCAATTACCGTTATTAAACTAAAGGTAATTCTGAAAGCTTATAACTAATTATCAAATAGTTAAGTTATTTAATTGATAAACTGATTTCTTGATAGAACATCTTTTGACTACAACAGATGCTGTACAGATAAGGATGTGTATTGGCAATAGTTTATGTGTATTGAGATAATTATATTTTACACAGGTGCATTAAGTTTATAAGAAATAAAAGAATCTCTGCAGGAAAGATAGTGATTACATTTCAGTAGCATTAGGTTTATTTAACTGATTTTGTGAGGTTCAGGTATTTTGGGAGTTTAAATGGGTTGATTTAGTTTATAAGTAAGTTGAATATATTCATTTTATTCTATAGGTGACTTGTAAAGTTAATTGACCTTCTTAGAATTATTAGAATTGCATAAAGAAACACATTTTGTATATAACGCCAACATTCCTCTTTGAAGTGAATATTTAAAAAAAAATTAGGGGCAAATCTGTATATCCAGCTAGCCTTAATTCATAATCTTTTCATTTTCTTGGATATGTTAAGTACAGGTATAGGGTAGGAACAGATGATTAAGTTTGCCTGATGAAAAAGGGGTGGGGAAGAGTCTAATAAAATTTACTACTATGTCTATTATTTATGATTTCTTGATCCTTTTTATTATCTAAATAATCTTAAATTGTATGCATTGATAACACATAAAAGTTTCTTTGAAACATCGAAACATTGAAAGGTATGAAAAAATTTTAGTAAGAAAGGTAAAGAAAATAATTTTAACCTACAATATTTATACTTATTTATATCTACTATAATGTGTAATTGAAGAGGCACCATTTGAATCCTGTAAAAGTTGGTTGTAGACATGATTGTTTTTCTACAGGTCTGTTTCTACAGGTCTGTATACATGGTACCTTCTCATTCTGTCAGAATCTGTTCTGTTTCTACAGGTCTGTATACATGATACCTTCTCATTCTGTCAGAATCTGTTTCTACAGGTCTGTATACATGATACCTTCTCATTCTGTCAGAATCTGTTTCTACAGGTTTGTATACATGGTACCTTCTCATTCTGTCAGAATCTGTTTCTACAGGTCTGTATACATGGTACCTTCTCATTCTGTCAGAATTTGTTTCTACAGGTTTGTATACATGGTACCTTCTCATTCTGTCAGAATCTGTTTCTACAGGTCTGTATACATGGTACCTTCTCATTCTCTCAGAATCTGTTTCGACAGGTTTGTATACATGGTACCTTCTCATTCTGTCAGAATTTGTTTCTACAGGTTTGTATACATGGTACCTTCTCATTCTGTCAGAATCTGTTTCTACAGGTCTGTATACATGGTACCTTCTCATTCTTTCAGAATTTGTTTCTACAGGTTTGTATACATGGTACCTTCTCATTCTGTCAGAATCTGTTTTTACAGGTCTGTATACATGATACCTTCTCATTCTGTCAGAATCTGTTTCTACAGGTTTGTATGCATAGTACCTTCTCATTCTGTCAGAATCTGTTTCTACAGGTCTATATACATAGTACCTTCTCATTCTGTCAGAATCTGTTTCTACAGGTCTATATACATGGTACCTTCTCATTCTGTCAGAATCTGTTTTTACAGGTCTGTATACATGGTACCTTCTCATTCTGTCAGAATCTGTTTCTACAGGTCTGTATACATGGTACCTTCTCATTCTGTCAGAACTGTTTCTACAGGTCTGTATACATGGTACCTTCTCATTCTGTCAGAATCTGTTTTTACAGGTCTGTATACATAGTACCTTCTCATTCTGTCAGAATCTGTTTCTACAAGTTTGTATGCATAGTACCTTCTCATTCTGTCAGAATCTGTTTCTACAGGTCTATATACATAGTACCTTCTCATTCTGTCAGAATCTGTTTCTACAGGTCTATATACATGGTACCTTCTCATTCTCTCAGAATCTGTTTCTACAGGTTTGTATACATGGTACCTTCTCATTCTGTCAGAATCTGTTTCTACAGGTCTGTATACATGGTACCTTCTCATTCTGTCAGAATCTGTTTCTACAGGTCTGTATACATGGTACCTTCTCATTCTCTCAGAATCTGTTTCTACAGGTCTATATACATGGTACCTTCTCATTCTGTCAGAATCTGTTTCTACAGGTCTGTATACATGGTACCTTCTCATTCTGTCAGAATCTGTTTCTACAGGTCTGTATACATGGTACCTTCTCATTCTGTCAGAATCTGTTTCCACAGGTCTGTATACATGGTACCTTCTCATTCTGTCAGAAAAGCCAGTCTTTGTCTTTAATATATATGGAAATAGGATATCAAGACTTTTATACTACCTCAGTATGCTACACACATTGTCTGACTCTTAGGGACAAATTATATTACTACTGTGATTTATTATTATTCATGAGGTACTTCAGTGGCGGATCCAGGGGGAGGGTTCCGGGGGTTGGAAACCCCCCCCTTTTTTTGGACAATCAATGTATTTGAATGGGGACATATAGTTGGAACCCCCCCCCTTTATCCTGGGTTGGGAACCCCCTTTTAGAAATGGCTGGATCCGCCCTTGTACTTATCTAATTTTCATAGATTTTGTTGTTGAAGGTTAACCAGAAATATTACCGTGATAACTGTATAAGTTTTCTATAGGCTTGTACCCATAATTTGTTATAACCAAGAAAATCAAGTATTCACGAAAAAAAAGAAAATAAATTCCTCAATCCAAAAAAATTGTTAAAGACGAAAGTAAATACACTGACAATTAACATGTGATATTGAAACATTTATATTGAATTGAAAGTGAAAGGTGACTTAATGGGCTGGTTGTATTTTGTATGTTGGATAATATTTTGTACATAGATATATTTATGTTGATTTACACATGTCACTATAATAAACAATTTACCTATATGAGGTGCAGTTTTACTATTTATTCCTTATTTTCTGAAATAAAAAATATTTCTTGATATCAAAAAATTAAATTCCTGATATCAAAAATAGATTTTTGGATATCAGAAAATATTTTTTGATATCAGGAATTCAATTTTTTCATATAAAAAATTCCCTTTTTTGATATCAGGAATTCGATTTCTTGATATCAGAAAATAATCAATATTTCTTGATATCAGAAAATCATTTATCAAGAAATCCATTTAATGATATCAAAAAGTAGATTTTCTGATATCAAATAGTACTGACGATTTTGATTTTTTGATATCAAGAAATCGATTTCCTGATATAAAAAAATTGAATTAGTCATATCAGAAAATCATTTTTTGATATCAGAAAATAAGGAATAAATAGTAAAACAGTGCCTCATATACTTACTTATTTACATCATGAACAGTATGTGTTCATAGCTTTAACTATAATTGGTATTTATAATTCCACGCTGATGAAATGACAGTGTCAATGTTTGTCAGGAATGACTTCAGCCGAAGTAATCATCGTCTTTATTAAATGGTAATTGTGTTTTTCAGATTGTTGTTACATTGTTTAAAGAATTACCACAAGGATGGTGGAACATTTTAATTAACTGAGATGATGAAAGATTACTGTAACCGTATCATTACACAGAAACAATCTTATTGACAACCTCTGGCCAATTCATTACCATCTTAAGTAATTGGATTTCTTCAAAAGGATAACTGGTTGTGAAGGCATTCTGATAAAACTTGGTAATGTCAATCGTCCATCAAAGGCAGTGCAATATAAACTAACAGTTCTACAGGTTTTGATACAAATAAGGCAAAACATGGACATGTATTGATTTGACAGTCTACTGGATTACATATGAATTTGGAATATTTACATAGGACAAAATGATGGAAGTATTCCCATGGTATTTGAATTGTTTGTCCTAATAGACTTTGATTGTTTAACTCATTTATGCAAATGTTCTACAAGCAATGAGACAGTCAGTCTGAGGAAAGATACTAGTTTTAAACAAAAAAACTTTATGAATAATGGAAAAATGTATACTGTTAAAAACTTGGCTGAGATAATCAGCAGATATAGGAGATACAGGAATATACTTTTAGGCACATAGTTCAATTGATCAAGAGATGTATTATAGATGCAGCATTTGTTTACCGATTTTTTTATTTCAAACTGTGAAAGTGTATTCAAATTGTTATTAAGATTACATGAATTTTTATTCTGCAATGTAAAGAAATACTAGTCATACAACAATGAAAAATACAACAGATTTGGTTAGAGGAGAAATCAGTACAAAACCAGAAATAATTTTATCTGATACAGACTATCTGTGTAATACAAAGAATGAAACAACTTTACTACACTGGTCAAATGATCCATTGTTTTATATAATAACTGTTCTTATGTTCTATGCTTTAAGTATTATTATATTAATGGTGAAGTATATAAGACGAGAGAGACAAGAAGCAGAGTATGACAATTACTATTATGAATTTGTCACAAGGGAAAAGTTTCAAACACCACAATTTAAGAATACTCAAAATATGAGTAATGTCTTAAAGTCAATGCAATATACAAAATTGACCAATCATGACAATGCACAGGGAGAAAAAAAATCAAAGTGTAAATTGTCAAATCTTAATTCAACACAAAGTTTGTGCTGTGAATTACATCAATTTACAAAGGTTAGTAATGTTGACGATGGCGATGGCGATAATCCTTTGCTTGAACAAGAAGAGGAGGAGCATTGTATAATTCATACTGAACAAGTATTGACAAGTCCATCTGCTGACCAATCTATAAATGTGCAGGATAATATTGTGTCAGACTAGGAATGTACAAAATAATAGTGTTCCATATCAGGAAATATAATCAAAAAGTTTACTTGTTGTGGTGATACAGATTAGCTCAAAGTCAAATAAAGAGTTTTGTGTCTTTATGTGTTTAGATGAAACTTGAGTATGAATTTATTTTGTTGAGAACATGCCATTGGAAAGGGTTGTTTGTTATCCTTTTTTGATTCAAACTATTTTACAATAAAAAAATGTAAATCATATTAATTGTCTATTATTTTTTTACATTCAAGTCAGTATTTTAGCATTGGTCCTGATTTTTGAATTATAGATCGATTAATTTTCAGTTGATAAAGTTTGTAATTTTCATTAAAAACCAAGGTTGCAACTCTATTGGGGAAATTTATTATCAAATCAAACATTTTATTACAAATCAGAAAATCTTGAATATATCATAACAGATAAATAAAAAATTACCCAAAAATTATACTGAAATAGTGCATAAATAGACATTTGCTTTGGCGGAAGGGTAAATTGATTTGTCCATTTTTCAGATCTATAGAATGTTAGTAAGTTTCTGATCTTGATGTAAAATATTATGGAGTCTTGTACTATTTATACTTTTATATAAAGTAAAACATAGTAGAAAAGTAGAGTTATTACATGTTTTTGCTTATTGTTTTGTTTATTATATTTGTTCAATAGAGATATATATTTAATAAACTGTAACTGAGCTTGTTAAAACATTATTTTTAATATTCTACTTAAACATCCTGCCCAAGATGAATCGAAATTGACCCCAGTCTACTATTTAGTCCTCACCATTTTGTCTTGTTTGTTACAGAATCTTGAGAGAAAACTAGGTTATTAATTGTTGGGCGGCCAAGTCAGTTGTTTAAACAATTGCAAATGCCTTTACATTTTATTCCTTCATATAACCCGATATAAACATAAATATAGATATAAATAGATAGCGAACTCATGCAATTGGATTTTTCTAGGTCTGTTTGATTTCAAATTATAGGTTAAACATATATGTTAATTATCGTTTTTACCTGTAGAAGAATGAGTTTTTGTGGATCGAATCAGTCAATCAAATGGTTTACCCTTGTTTCACTTTCAATGTTGACATTCTTTTCCTGTTATTGTGAACCAAATGAAAGTTTTCCACAGAGTCATCTCCTCTTGGTCAAGGTATTTAAACTTTTGTCAGTTCACTTGTCCTATTGAATAAATACAATAGCTATTGTTCTCAGTGTAGTTTATTCACTGGGACCATTAAATTTCTTCTAAGAGAAATCTATCATTCATTGATTAATTTACCTGACCAAAAAAATATCTTCTTAGTTGATTAAAACACATATACAAACTTACAAAACTACATGTGATGTTGTATTTATTCAATATCAATAATATATTTTCAATCTGTTCAATATAAACACTGATTAGATTATGAAAAGTTTATTTCGAAATTTTTAGTATTGTTCCAATTGAATTTGCATTTTTATGCCCCCGCCATAGCGGAGGGGGCATTAAGTTTAACCCTTGTCCATCTGTACGTACGTACGTACAAATGTAACGTCCCAAAGTTGGTTCTCTAACTTTAGTTTTCGTCAACCAAATGTTATGAAACTTAGACACAATGCTTATTACCACAAAACACAGATAAAGTTTGAATTTTGGTGGCGTCACTTTAACTGTTCTAGAGTTATGACCCTTTACAAATGGAAAAATTGCTGAATTTTTTGTTTCCGTTCTCTTACTTTAGTTTGCCTCAACTATATGTTATGAAACTTATACACAATGCTTATTACTGCAAAATACAGACCAAGTTTGAATTTTTATGGTGTCACTTTAACCGTTCTAGAGTTATGCCCCTTTACAAATGGAAAAATTGCTGAATTTTTCGTTTCCGTTCTCTAACTGTAGTTTGCCTCAACCAAATGTTATGAAACTTATACACAATGCTTATTACCACAAAATACAGATCAAGTTTTGAATTTTGGTGGTGTCACTTCAACCGTTCTAGAGTTATGCCCTTGACAAATGGAAAAATTGCTTAATTTTTCGTTTCCGTTCTCTAACTTAAGTTTGCCTCAACCAGAATTTAAGAAACTTATACACAATACTTATTACCACAAAACTCAGATCAAGTACAAATTTGGGTAGCATCACTTTTACCGTTCTTCAGTTATGTCCCTTTATAACTTTATATGATATGGAAGCGGGGGCATCATCTGTGTCCCATGGACACATTCCCCATTTATTTTTGTGGTTGTTCAGTTATAGAATACATTTATGAAGGCCATAATTTAAACATCATCATTTTCCAGTTTTTATTTGTCAAACACAAAAAAAAAAAAAAAAAAGGTTTCAATAGTACAATATTGAAAATTTTGACAGAAATCAACTTAATTTTTGTATCAGTGTTTATATTGAACAAATTGAAAATGTATTGATGATATTGAAAAAAATACATCATCACATGCAGTTTTGTGTGTCCTGATTTAGTATTGGTACATGCATTTTCATCATTGAAAGTAAAAATGTTTGTTCAGGTAAATTAATAAATGAGTGATGGAATCCTCTTAGAAGAAATTTAAAGGTCCCATTGAATAAAATCCACAGAGAACAATAGCTATTGTATTTATTAGATGGGACAAAAGAACTTACAAAAGTTTATATCGACAGGTAACCTTCAAGTGAATCTGTAGAAAAGTATTATTTCTAGGTAACCTTCAAGTGAATCTGTAGAAAAGTATTATTTCTAGGTAACCTTCAAGTGAATCTGTAGAAAAGTATTATTTCTAGGTAACCTTCAAGTGAATCTGTAGAAAAGTATTATTTCCTTTTCGCAATAATAACTGAACACGCCTAATTCATGCTTAACCCATCTCTAGCTAAAGGGTTAAATTGAAGGGTCACATGAATACGAATTCAATGCGGTCGAATTATTTACTTTCAAGTGAATAATTCATCAGCGATGTTTCTTATCTTATTTTGACAAAATTGAACCAAACTGGCTGTTAAAAGCGAATTATTATTTCAGTATTTCACTTTCATTAAGGATTGAACAAAAAAAATCATATTTTAATTTTTTTGTATATCTCGTAGCTAATGCCCCTTTAAGGGAAAATACCTATTTAAACTAAGAGGTTAAATTTAAATGTAAAAAGGTTCCTGCTACATCAAGTTATTCTTCATATGACTTCCCTTACTTGTACTACTTTATTTTTTCACTTTCAACTGATTTGTTTGAAATGAATCAATCAATCAATTATGCTTTCAATCCTAATTATTTGCCCTATTCATATATAAAGATAAGAAGATGAGGTATGATTGCCAATGAGACAACTATCCACCAAAGTTCAAATGAAGTGGATGTAAGCAATTATAGATCTAACAGGGTAACATATAATAACATTTGCCCAATCTAACAGGGTAACATATAATAACATTTGCCCAATGGTTGTCTACCTGTTTGTTTTGTTTCTGTATTTTGAGTGAGATCATCAGGCAATTTATGATAGTAATTACAAGTAATAGAATTTTTTGCCAGATGTAATTTATAAATTGTTGATATTGCCCCACAGCTGTGTTTTCCAATGAACAGATGTTGTGTGATCGATTTGACCTTGCAGTGAGGTTAGATATTTTGCTTCATTTGAAGCACTGTAAATTTAAGTGAAGTACAGCAAGTAAATTGCTGTGACTGTTTTTCGTTTCCATGTGTAGTGATTTTGTATCAAAGAACAATTAGAAAAGTAAAAATGTTTTCCTAGAACTGATTTGTAGGTTTGAATTGTTTTTAAGATGCCTGGAATATAATCCAAGTCCAACATGTTAAAGGGGAGATAATCAAGTTTACTTACTTCAATGTATATGATAATAGTAATGTGGTGGATGGTGTGTATCCTTTTGTAAGTTCAGTTACAGTTTTACTTTATAAGTGATTTTGAATTCTGAAAGCCACAGGTGCTCTTGCAATCTCATAAATAAATACAAGTCATAATGTTGGAAATACCATATTAACATAGTTAGTATGCATCTTTCACTTAATCTTGGTTAGGAAATAAATTAAAGTGTGTCCATCAATGAGACCTGAACTCATCAAAATAAAAAAAACATTAGACATCTAAGCTTAACAGTTTACAAGAAAAGATGGGTGTCTTTGCAATGTGGGAGGCCAAGCTCTAAATCACCCAAGTCCCCAAAAAGTTGAGAATAGGGAGACAATAAAAAATATGTCAAAAGACATCCATTTCAGAGGTTCCTGACTTTGGACAAGAACATAAACTACATGTTTCTTCAGATCAAAACCCTCCCCCTTTTTAGCTCAACTCAAATAAAAGGTCCATGTGAGCTTTACTATTACTTGTGATCCATCTTCTGGCCTCAGACCACAATTATTTTGAAAGTGCTTTGTTTATAAAAGTCAAATTGAATACAAAATTGGACTGGCTCAAACACTAAATAAATTTACCCAATTACAGAACATTATTATGCTAATGAAATATACACATCTTTTAGGGAAAAAAATGCTTTTTCTCATGAGAACCCTGTAATCTTTTGAAGGGTAGAAGTTGTGGCTTTAATACCGGTAAATGCTGAGGACTCATTTCTATCCTACTTACACTGGCCAAATAACTTCTTTCACTTTCAACAATAAATTTTTACACATTTTTTTTTAACTTATTTTAATATATTTTACAGTCTAACTACTATAAAGACACCTATTAAGCGAAAACTTGTCTTTTAGAGTCACCCTCTTTCTTCTATTCTCACTGAAGTATTACCTATGCATTTTGAACCTCATTTCAAAGGTCACCTCTCTTATAAAGTCTGTTTCCTCTTGTCCCAAGGCTGACCTTTATGTACTAATTTGACTATGTAATTTTAAGAACCACTTAAATAGTTTATTTTCAAAGAAAACAGTAGCAGGTATAAACAAGAAAGAATTCTATAATAATATAATACTGGGGACCTATATTCCTAGACCCTGAATGAAGTGAATAAATTGTTTTCTGAGGTCTACCATTGACATCATCTGGTGTTTTATTTTTTTTTAATTCTTTTCTATCAGGAATGGGCCAAATGTAACCAAACCTTACATGAATAATATTTCAGGCATCTAGTTAATAAATTATAACTAGGTATTTGATACATTAACTCAGACAGCCACTGTTGCTAAAAAAAAGGACAGAGGGGTCAGCATATATTTTTGGATTTATATCTTGGAAATATTTAGAGAAAAAATGTCTCCTCAAAACAATCAGAATGGTAAAATCTTCCAATGTTCCAAAATTTTGAATTGTCAAATAACTCTGTAAAAAAAATAGATTTTTACCATTGTTTTGTTTTTTCTCAGCTTTTTTCTATTACAGAAAATGAAACTTTTTAAAAATAGAAAAAGATATCAAGAAGACAAGTTTATAGAAAAAGATATCAAGACGACAAGATCTACTAATAAATCATCAGGACAGAAATCTTAAATTGACTATTTATAGGAGATACTGCCCTTAAAGAAGATTTCTACAAATATTTTGCATTTTTGGCCCTAATCTTACCACAAGTATGCATACTAAAATGTCTCGCCTGCTTTCATGAGTCAGATGATTGAATTTATGTTGAACGTCTTTAAGATAATGGTTTAATTACAAGGAACTCATTAACTTAACATTATCAATGATTCATGTAAATGGTGTCATTGTCAGATGAACCCTACCAGACCAACATTACACCTTACAATCATTCCATACACTAAACATACTTAAATTATTGTGTATAGTATCTGAGAAACAGACCTAACCACAAAAATTTAACATTGACTAATGAACCATAAAAATCAGGTCAAGATCAGGTGAACCTTGCCAGATAAACATGTACATTATACAATCATTCCATACTCCAATAAAAGAAGAATGTGTCCATGGGACACAGATGCCCCAGCTTGTAAATATGCAAGAATCAATGTACTAATTCAAATTTTTGAATATTGAAATGATACATCTGGTCAGCACATACAACAGTTAGAGTGGGGACAAAAGAAGTCTTTCTTATAAAGAGGCATAAAAAACAGTAAAAGTGATGAGTTCGCAAAATGGAAAATTTGGCAATATTCCAGTTATAAAGGGCATAACACACTTTTATTTCAGATAAGGGTGAAGGTTGGTACCTATTAAAACGTTCAAACCCGCTGCATTTGTTTGCACCTGTCCTAAGTCAGGAATCTAATGTTCAGTTGTCGTTTGTTTATGTGGTTCATAAGTGTTTCTCGTTTTTTATACAGATTAGACCTTTGGTTTTCCTGTTGGAATGGTTTTACACTAGTCATTTTTGGGGCCCTTTATAGCTTGCTGTGCGGTGTGAGCCAAGGCTCCGTGTTGAAGACCGTACTTTGACCTATAATGGTTTACTTTTACAAATGGTGACTTGGATGGAGAGTTGTCTCATTAGCACTCATACCACATCTTCTTATATCTATAACACAAGAACAGTAAAAGTGACACCACCCATACTAGAACTTGATATGTGTTTGGTGGTAATAAGCATTGTGTTAAAGTTTCATAACATTTGATTGAGGCTAACTAAAGTTAGAGAATGAAAACTAATTTTGGGACGTACAGACCATTGTACAGACAACAATAAAACTTATGCCCACTCTGCCTAGTGGCAGGGGCATTAAAAAAGTTAACATATTGCCTAAAATATCTGAGAAACAGGCATGAAAATAACTCAAGATCAGATTAACCCTCCCCGATGAACATGTACACAATACAATCATTCCATACACCAAATATAGTTGAACTATTGCTTTTAGTATCTGAGAAACAGACTTAACCAAGAACCAAACTTGTTGGGGGTGCATACAATAGTTGTTTGACTTAATGTCATTAAATTATGCATCAATTGGACCTATAATGCAGGAATCAGATATTCAGTCATGCAGACAATAGGACAATTTTCTTATTAACTAAAAAATGAATTTCAAAAAATCTTCATTCTGTTATGTACTTGTGAAAATCCTATTTTACTTTTTGATCAAAAGAATTTATGGGGTTTCCCATACAAAAACAGGATCTTTGTAATTTCAAATCACGGAGTGAACATCCCCCATCAGCAACTCCTACACCAGTGAATGGATTTCAATCAAGCTTTCAGATTCTTTGACATAATGCCATTGTGCACCTCCCATTTTACTGTTAAATCAGAATGATTTCTAGGGTTTATCATACCAAAACATAGACCACACACCTTCATATTATAGGGTAAAACATCTACCATATGCAACCCCTCCTAAACAATGGAATGGATTTCAATCAAACTTTCATGGATTCTTCAGGACATAATGCTATTGTGCACCTACTTTTTATACCTGGCTGAACAAAGTGGGGGTATATAGTGATTGGGGTGGCTGCCCTTCCCGACCAATTCTTCTAACCACAAAATGAATTTCAATGACACTTATAAAAACATTATGTACTTGTGCATCTCCTATTTTCATTTTGATCAAATGATTTCTTGGGTTTCCCATACAAAAACATACTTTTCAAATTCATATTATAAAGGTTCTAAGAATTATTATTTGGGAACTTTTTTTCTGCACTAACTTCCGTCCATTGTATTGACGATGACATTGAACTTGGAAGCAATGATCACAAAATCAAGAGATTATCTTTTCATTATATGTGACCATATATGCCGGTTTCATTGAAATCCCTTTTAAGGTTCACAAGATATGATCTAGAAAACACCTAATTTGCACCTATTTAAGTATATTTTCAGTTCCTATAACCTTGACCTTGGAAACATGATATCAAATAAATAAGTAGTCTCTGCTCATTATACGAGACCACATATTTAGTTTGGTTCAAACCTAATTTCAGGTTCCAGTTGTAATACAGAAACCTCTTTCCTTAATTAATTTTGGTCTGTTTTCTAGTATTTATGACCATGACTTAGTGACCTCAAAATCAATTATAGGTATCCTCCTTTCATTATAAGGGCCTCGGTGGCCAAGTGGTCTAAGAAGTCGAACTATTGAATCACTAGTCTGTCAACACTGTGGTTGTGAGTTCGAATTCCGCAATTGGCAGGTGTGCTCGACTCCAATCTTAATTGACTAGGTTTGTCTGTTTTCCTACCGAAGGTTGGTGGTTCTCTCCGGGCACCCCAGCTTCCTCCACCAATAAAATCTGACTGCCACGAATTAGCAAAATAGTGCTGAAAGTGATGTTAAACACCAATCAATCAATCCTTTCATTATGTTACCTAGCAGGGTTGCAATCTGACAGTTTTTGAATTTTCCTCCTGAAACTGACTGCAAACTGAATGAAGATAGATAAATAGCCATTAACCCCAGATTCTTTATACTGTTGGGTATAACAAGTTAACAGACATCCAGTGATAGCTATATTCTATGAGCTAGAAAGGCATAATAAAACATATTATCTATTTATATAATTTATTTAACATGTAGGTTTTAAATTAACAATTATCCTGACTTTTCTTCTAGTTTAAAATCAATATTATTGTCAGTACATATAAAAAAAAAAATTAACATCTTTTGACAATAAAACTTACTTCCACAACACAATAAAATTGCATAAAAAACTTTTTTATATTTTATTTCAAATCATAACTTATGACCTTGATTTATTTTCATATAAAATTTTTCCTTTCGTTTCTTAAAAATAGTTTTACATCTTTTGTCTAGGTTTCAATATTATTCTCATGTTTTACAAAATTCTTCACATTCCATAATTATTTTAACAAAAAATTTTTTTTTTTAAATTAAGATTTCAAATTCCTTTCACACATTTTATAAACTTTAATACATTCCAAATAAGCAACAAGATTTTAAACTTACAATTGAAAATAATAAAAACTCTAATTTATATTTTTGATAAAAAATTCTTTTTACGGTTAATTTACAGTTTAGGTTTTGAAACTTGAGATATGAAACATAATTTTATTTTTAAGTTCAAAACTTGGGTGTCAATATCTTTTTAATAGGTTTTACTTAAAATGACAAATGTTATGATCTCATTTCTATGTTTCTTACATACAAAATTATGAATAACACACATACATTTTTTTTTATAAAAAAAGTACTACATTAGCTCATTACCACATGATCATAATTGCCCAGATTTCATGATCATAATTTTCAAGCTAAAATAACCATACTTTTCCTTAAGAGAATACATGGTAATTTGATTCATCTTTCTTCTATACAATGAATAATTGGTGACAAAATGACATGAATGAGTAAGATGATAGATGAGGATGATAAGCTGATGATGATAAAACATTGGTTAAAACAACAGATGATACAATAAAAGCTAAATGTATAGCACAAATTTACAGAGTTTGCTGCCCCCTCAAGTTCATTCCTCTCCAGTGTAATTTCTCTTTTTGATGAATTGTGATGTATGAACAATCTTCACTGTTTCACGATAAAAACTGAAAAAAAATAAATTAAAAAAACGTTTACAATTTTAATGTTTAGTTGAAACATTTCAAATTATTGTGTATATACATAAGCCTACCCAGTGAATAATAATTTTTGGTGCTATTTCAATGCTGTTAATTAAATGGTGAGGAGGGATGAACGTTTATTAACGCAGAATTCAGAATTTCTTCAATAATATTTTTAAAATTTAGGGAATGGTATTTCAGTAACATCATCATTTCTCTAATAGTGCAAGAAAGGGGTTTATCATAATACCCATTCACCAATATGTGAATGAAATATGCACTGTTATTGCAGAAAAAAGTGCATTATTATTACAATTATGCTCTATTAGTTTTTCAAATAGTGGTCATTTCAGTTCATGGAACATCATAAATTTGAAACAATAACACCATACTGATATTAGTGGTCTAGTCTGATTCCAGTTTTCCATTCAGAAAGATTTTGTCAACAATGAACAGACGACAAGTATGATAGACAATACAGACCAATATGTGGACCATGTGAGCTCAAATGCATGATAAAGTATATACATGAAATCGATCATTTCAATGTAGTTTATATTGTTTTTTCAATAGTGATCAATGTTTCACGATGGTAGTATCAGTGTTGTCTAACCCACTGAAATCACACTGTGAATGATGAAATAGGCATCCTCTGCACCTTTATATCAGCAAATGGTTGAACTAATTTTGATTTAATATTAAACAAGAATGTGTGTCTATAGGACACCATGCCTTGCTCTGACTATCACATATCACATTTAGATGTTCAGTCAACCATAAAATCTGGGCCAAAAACCTAATTTGGAACTTTTTTTAAAAGTTCATATCAAAATGAACATATGTACTTAGTATCAATTTGATGTGACCACAACTTCATGGTAAACTATTTTTTAACCAATACTTTATCCTGATACAGGAAGGACAAAGGGAAGAATGGATAGACTAGAAAACATTAAATATACATACCTGTTTTACTGTGCTTTTAATGAATTGTTTCCTATCTGACAGATCAAAACTTGGAAATTTATCATAAACCTAAAACAGAAATAAGCAAAATATATATTGTATTTTGGATTACATACAAAAACATCTTTTTGAGAGTATATTGTTAACAGGAAGTGAATGTGCATGTGTGAGTGAATGTGAAAAGCATCACACAGTTTAGTATGCTCACATGAAGCATGCAAAACGTCTTCAGGGTCTCTAATTTGCAGTTCCTGAGGAAAAGTGACAAAAGTTTCATACAGGGCCATTATGTGTTAGAATAAATATTTTATTAATATAATGTAAGTATATAGTAAACACAGGAAGTTGATGAGAGGCAAATTGAAAATAAATCACACAGTTTGAAATGCTATAATGAAGCTTTTAACCAATTTTCAGACAGTTCTCATCTATAGATGCTGATAACTAGAGGCTCTTTATAGAGGCTCTAAAGAGCCTGTGTTGCTCACCTTGGTCTATGTGCATATTTAATAAAGAACACTCTCCAACATTGTAGACGAGAATAGAATTCATGACAAAAATCTCTGTTTTGTTGATCTTGTATTACTGATCATTTAGTTTCTCTATATCTTCTTTAGTTTTTGCTCAAAACACAAAAGAAGGTAAAAATATCCTCATTTAAGGGCAATCAATCCTATGAAGAGTGAGAGTCTACTAACTATATCGGAAAAATTTGACTTTTTAGTAGATCTTGCCTTGCTGATCATTTTTGTGATTTAAAGTGTCTATTTATCTATTATAATTTAAATCATATAAGGCAAAACTGAAAAAAAAATGGTAAAAATCATCATTAAAGGGCAATTACTCCAATAAGGAGTCGTCATACGATTTCCAGCAAATCATCTTAAATGTAGATCTTGTCTTGCTGATCATTTTTCCTTATTTAAGTTTCTATCTTACTATTATAACTTTTAAGATATAAGGCAAAAAACACAAAAAATTGATTAAAATCGTCATCAAAGGGCATTAACTCCAATAAGGAGTTGTCGGACAATTTCCTCCAAATTATCTTAATAGTAGATCTTGTCTTGCTGATCATTTTTGCATATTTAAGTTTTCTATTATCTATTATAATTTTTAAGATATAAGACAAAAACGCAAAAAAATGTTAAAATTGTCATCAAAGGGCAATAACTTTAAAAAGGAGTCGACTGACGATTTTGACCATTTGACTTATTTGTAGAACTTGTCTTGCTGATCATTTTTGCAATTTAAAGTTTCTCTCTATCTATCATAGTTTTCATGATAATAGGCAAAAAAGAAAAAAATGGTAAAATTTGTCATTTATGGGCAATAACTCCTATAAGAATTTGTCTGACAGTTTTGACGTATATGGACAATTGGTAGAGCTCATCATTCTGAACATTTTTGCTCCTTTCAGATTTTCTCTATTTATAACGGTTTACAAAATAATAGACAAAACTTGCATTTTACCCCTATGTTCTATTTTTAGCCATGTTGGCCATCTTGTTTGGCAGGCGGGGCCAGGTGAGCTAAAAATACAAAACATTTCATGGGAGTGATGGACTGATGTGATATAATAAATCAAGTATATATACAAATATTGAAATGTACCGATCTGGCTATCCATGCTTTCAAATGTAGTCTACTAGAATGTTCCATTATTTTTATTCAGAAGGATGAACAGTGTAAACTAAAATATATCTAATTACCTGTTTTACTACAGTTTTCATTGTAACCTGTTCTAAATTGGCCCCATCTAAAATTTTCTTTACTAATTTCTTTAATTCATCATTCTGTAAAGAAAAAAATATTTTGTTAGTATTCATTATTTGTGTTTTAATCTTTTCTGCTGATTATATATATATTGAAGCAAAATTGTGCTTGTTCTCTACAGCGATAAGTATACATTCTATCCATTAATTCAAAATTCAGAATTTGTGTTGGCTTTAACAAATTTAAGAGATTTAAATATTTTTTGAAGGGTTTATATCAGCAATCAAAGTTGTACATTTATTAAAATTTACTCAAATGGGTTTTAAAATCATAAGACTGAAATGGAATTAAGCTAACTCCAAGTAACACATTTGTGAAGACTTTTTGCAGTTAAATGTCTGAAAATTAAATACACAGAGAGGTTGAAACATCAGAAACAGGATGAAAACTGATGGTCTTTTTCTTTTTCTATTAACACAGCAATGGTCATTTAACTTTTGTATATAGTATAAATTGTCCCCAAATTTCACTGCCATCACGATAGGATGGTTTTTTTTTTATAACACTACAATGAATTAAAACTTACTGTTGGCGGTGAAGGTGCTTTTTTTACAAGAGGTTCTTCATCATCTGAACTCTGTTCACTTTCCTCTTCTGAATCTGATTCTTAAAAAGGAAAACAAATATTCATTAGAAATAGATGAATACCACAGGTTCAAATAGTCAAACAAAATTTTGTAACAGAAAACATTTTTTGTTATTATATTTTTACTAAAATTTTAACTTTGTAAGATTTCCATTTATGTCTGTTTAAAAATTGAGGGGTTGGAAATTAAAAACCAGTTGATTTTTCACCCATGACTTCAAGAAAAGGCCCTTCTACTTGTTTTCGTGGAAAAAACAAGTGAAACTGCGAGCTACTGCTCACTGATGATACCCCTGCCCAAATACTTGACGGTAAACAGGAAGTTGTTGAGTGATGAAACTGAAAACGCATCAGACGGTACAGCTGACTTATATAATAGACAAAACTTGCATTTTACCGCTATGTTCTATTTTTAGCCATGTCAGCCATGTTGGTTGGTAGGCGGGGTCATCTGACACATTTTTTTTTTTAACTACATACCCTAATGATGATTGTGGCCAAGTTTGGTTAAATTTGTCTCATTAGTTTTAGAGGAGAAGAGTTTTGTAAAAGATTACAAAAATTTACAAAAAATTGTTAAAAATTGATCTTGAAGGGCAATAACTCCTTCAGGGGTCAATTGACCATTGTGGTCATGTTGACTTATTTGTAGACCTTACTTTGCTAAACAATTTTGCTGTTTACAGTTTATCTCTTTCTATTATAGTATTCAAGATAATAACCAAACTGCAAAATTTCCTTAAAATTACCAATTCAGGGGCAGCAATCCATCAACAAGTTGTCTGATGCGTCTGAAAATTTCAGGGCAGATAGATCTTGACCTGAAGAACATTTTCATCCCATTTTAGATTTGCTCTAAATGCTTAAGTATCAGAGACATAAGCCAAAAATTCATAAGGGTTCCGCGGAACCCAGTGTCTCGCCTACTTTTGCTGTTAATCGCAGGCTCAACAAAAATGAGGAAAAAAATTAATAAAAATATTCCTCTCTATACTATCTTTTGATTGTAAGTAGCTTCTGTCCAAGTTTGGTAAAAATCCAGGATAGTTTATGAATCTAATAAATGTTTTAAAAACTTAAACTGCAGACTGTATGTAATGTTTACTGGAAGAAAAACTAAGTCCATTTATAAGTAAAATACGGAAAAAATGGAACAAAATGTCCTTCTAGATACTAGCTTTTAATCATAAATAAGCTTCTGTCCAAGTTTGGTACAAATCCAGGATAGTTTAAGAAAGTTGTTAAAATTTTAAAAACTTTAACCACAGAGTGAATGTTATGTAAACTGGCAGAAAAACTAAGTCCATTTATAAGTAAAATACAGAAAAAATGGAATTTTTTTTTTGCAAAATTTAATTCTGGATACTATCTTATGATCATAAACAAGCTTCTGTCCAAGTTTGGTAGAAATCCAGGATAGTTTAAGAAAGTTATTAAAATTTCAAAAACTTCAACCACAGAGTGAATATTTGTGGATGCCGCCGATGACAACAACAACGACGACGGAATGTAGGATCGCTATGTCTAGCTTTTTAGACAAAAGTCGAAGGCTCGACAAAAACTGCATTTTACCCCCATGTTCTATTTTTAGCCATGGTGGCCATCTTGGTTGATGGGCGGGGTCATTGGATACATTTTTTAAACAAGATACACTAAGGATGACTTAGGCCAAGTTTGGTTCAATTTGGCCCAGTAGTTTCAGAGGTGAAGATTTTTTGTAAAAGCTTACAAAAATTTACGATAAATTGTGAAAACTGACTTTAAAGGGCAATAACTCTTTCTGGTGTCAATTGACAATTTTGGTCATGTTGATTTATTTGTAGATCTAACTTTGCTGAACAATTTTGCTGTTACAGTTTATCTCTATCTATTATAATATTCAAGATAACCAAAAACTGTAAAATTTCCTTAAAATTACCAATGCAGGGGCAACAACCCAACAACGGGTTGTCTGATATGTCTGAAAATTTCAGGACATATAGATCTTGACCTGATTAACATTTTTACCCGTCAGGTTTGCTCTAAATGCTTTAGTTTCAGAGATACAAGTCAAAAACTGCATTTTACCCCCATGTTCTATATTTAGCCATGGCGGCCATATGTGTTGATGGGCGGGGTCATCGGATATATTTTTTGAACAAGATACCCTAAGGATGATTTAGGCCAAGTTTGGTTAAATTTGGCCCAGTAGTTTCAGAGGAGAAGATTTTTTATAAAAGTTAATGGATAACGACGACGGACGCCAAGTGATGAGAAAAGCTCACTTGGTCCTTTTGGGCCAGGTGAGCTAAAAATTATCTAGTTTTTGGATCCATATGTATAGAGCACATGCAAGTACCAACTTAATAATTTACCACAATGTTTGTAAATATGAGCAACACCTTTCATGTAAATATTTTTGTGGAACATGCATGCACTCAATATTTTCCATTTTACACATAAGTGTGAATATATGCAAATTTTTTTCTTTCTTTTTTTTAAAGAAGAAAGAGAATTCAATACATATTCATAATGTTTTAAAGATATTTCAGTTTAAACTTTGCACATACTTAACGATTATGTTTGAGCTAAAAGCCAACTGCCTGGATTTGTAATACCTCATTTTTGTAAGCCAAACATCAGACAAGAAATGAAGAAGTATGAGTGCTTGTTTCAGTATAATATACATTTCCAACTCCCAACAAATATTTGATTTTGTTTGAGACCTTGCTGATATAATAATTCAATAAACGTTTGATAAAAATCTGACAAGAAATGTACCTGTAATGCCTCCTACTCCTCCTTTGAAGTCATCTTCCGATTTGAAAAATGGGAATGAACTTTAGAAAATAATAAACATCTTGCCTTGTGGATATGATATCTGATCCTTTTACCGTAATTTAAGATCTTACTTGAATTGCTTACTACAGCCTTTTTATCCCGAAATACACATACCTTTTTTCTTCTGAGGTGCAGGTTTTTCTTTTTTCTTTGTTTCTTTTTTAGCTGGAGCGGGTTTCTTTGCAGGTGTTTCTTTCTTTGCTTTTTTCTTTTTAGGCGCCTAATTTTGATAAAAAGGTATATCAACACCAAAATAAATATATTCATCAACAAATCTTGAAAGTTTTGTTTGTCAAGAAACTAAAGACTTTATACTCCCGACAATTTTTTCAGGAGCATAAAAACAATGTTAAATTTGAAGCATATTGAATCAAGTATATGCGAGCTAGTGTGCAACATGTGACAATTGTGGTAAATCTGATGGTTTGAGTCATCAATATTAAACAGTTCACTTCATAATGAACATGTGAACTAAATATCAAGTTAATGTGACCACAAACTACCTATAACCCTAACCAAAAACTTTAACCGAACTTAGACAAATGGAAAGATGGATGGAAGAACAAGGTGAATGCAGTATACCACCCACTCCCTAAGTTTGGGTATACTTAGGATCTCATCAAGTTTTATGCCACTTATACACAGATTTGGAGTTTTTTTTTAAACATAACATATAAAAGACATTATGACATTCCATTAACAATTAGCTACAATGTATGAAAAAATTTTAAATTCCACTTGTTGACTCTCTCTTGAAAGAATTATCTAATTCTTACTTTTACCTCTTCTGGTTCCTCCTCCTCTTCTTCACTTTCTTCTTTTTCTTCTTCTTCCTCCTCATCCTCAACCTCTTCTTCCTCAGATTTTTCTTCTTCCTCCTCCTCTTCATCTTCTTCATCATCTGACCCTTTCACCTTTTCTTTTGATTTCTTTTTCTTAGAAGATTTACTATCTTTCTTGGATTTTTTTTTGTCACCTTTTCCTTTTGTTTCTGATCCTTAAAACAGATTTTTCAAAACAATGTTAAAGTAACGTTCTATAAAGCATATACAGATCAATAGGGTTTTTAATGTAAATTTTGATCCCTATTGATGACCTTTTGGAATTTAAGATCAGCATCAATAGTAACAATATTTGAAAACAGAACTCTCAAATTAGATATCATTCTGTCTTGTGGTTCTCAAGAATGAATATGAAAGAAGAATGGTCATTCAAAACTAATAAAAATACTGAATGATTGTTGGTGTTAAACAACACTTTCAACATTTTTTACTATTTCGGTGTCTAGTTTTTATAGGTTTAGGAAGCCACAGTACCCAGAGAGAACCATCGACCTCTGGCAGGAAAAATATTGTCTAACAACATAGATATATATGCCAACCCTGTTTAGCTGCAATCAGTAAAAAGTTTCAGTACTTTGTGATTTTTTTCATAAAATTTTATAATAATCATAATAAAAACTAGGCACATAGTCACACACATATGACTAATTTTATTTATGACAACTATGATTCAAAGTTGGTGAGTATTTGAGGAACACCTACCATCTCGCTGAATGGAAGTCTTGTTTACAATATTTACAAATAGCATAATGTTCTGGTTTCCAATTTCGCTGTCCAATTTTTTATTCTTTACTGCAGAAATTAAATTGTTTCATCAGATATTTTAAGATTTGCTGCATTCATTAACTATTCAGAATTGAGTAAGAAACAAATAGATCGCTGTCGACGTTTTATACTGTGGATTCATTTATTTTCGTTGGCCACAATTTTCGTGGATTGAGGAAAATGTGCACTTTTGTGGATATTTGATTTCGTGGTTTTGCCAATCTGTGCATACAAAGCCTATAGAAAATTTGCAATTAGTTGAACATTTAAATTCGTGGTTCACCTGTACCCACGAAACCCACGAAAAATTGGTATCCAACGAATTATAATGAATCCACAGTAGTTTGTACTTTACCATTGTTGACGTTTGCCATAGGTGCTTATATAGCTGTTATTAAAAATTATGGCTGCACAGACGTGTTTACATATCTTAGCGTAAATTGCCACAGTTTTACCCTCTACAATCGCTTTGTACTATAGATAAGTCTGAGAAACCCCAAAGAAATTAATAAATCCAATCTCTCAATCTGATTGTTACAAAATTATAATTCAAAATGATGTCTAAAGAGGGATCTGTTCTGGAAGGGTAATGAATGAAATACACAACACGTAGAATGTTACTCGTAACACTGTAATTTTGCATTACAATGAATGACTAATGAAAAATTTCACACTATCTTCTAAATGATTTCTTACTTTTTCGCTTCTTTGACTGTGGTACTTTCTTCCCTGTTGATTTTGGAGACATACAAAAAGCCATTACTCTTTCAGCTACTTCATCTTTTGTTCCTTTCTTTTCTAAATCTAGTACTTCACAAATAACTTTCAACATGGGCATATGAAAGTTTCGACTGAAAATTAAAAAAGATCAACATTAGAGCTAATTTCCTAATGCTTGTAGTTTAAAAGTTTGGTTGGATTGCTTTCTTTGTATAAATGTTTGCTCAAGCACTGTAATTAAGATTGACATCTACAATCAATAGATAGGTGGGGCTTCAGCTTGTATTATGCAGTGATTTTGCTAGCGCTCGTCATTTTCGTCATTTACGAAACGGTTTTCAAAATGACGAAAGTATTCCAAATCAATTTCGTCACTTAAATTTGGAAAGAGTAAAAATATTTTCGCATGAAAATACTATAATTCTACCTGTCTTATTGTTTCTGACAAGTTTATGACCCTCGGCTAATTAACATTTACAACAGGTGTTATAAGTTGTGATTACAGATAATCCGCTTATCGCCATCGGGTGGGTCACTAATCCGTTAATTATTTATCAACCTCATAATTGATCATCATAATTATTTTCCCCAGTAAAATCAGTCAGTCGGCATTTCAATTTCAATATTTATCAAACGATCACAATTTGCAGTTCTTTTGTCGTAGTTTCGTCATTTGAGTTTTCCCTCGGACAGTTCGCATTTTAATTTCAATATTTCTCAAACGATCACAATTTGCAGTTCGCTTGTCGTAGTTTCGTCAAATGAACGTATTTTCGTCATATTTGATATAACTTTTAATCAAAAACTTTCGCCAATTTTGATTAAAAAGATAGAACTTTATTCATAACATTCAGAAATATTTTCACGAGTCAAGCAGGTGCTTACTTTACGATGAACCGTGCATGCGCGAAAGTATTCTTATGAATTTAAAGACACTAAAACGTCAAATACGAAATAATTAAGTATCACACTAAACGAGAGACACAAATATAGTTCTTATTTAGCAAATTTAATTTAAAAAATGATTATTTCCTGTCTTTTTTAAACACGAACCAATCCGTAGATGAATCCGGATTCATTCTGAATTTATTATCCACTTGTCACTTCCCGTTTTCATTTCATTTGGAAATCAAAAGTAAACGAGATCTATTCATGATAAATTTACAATTTAAAGTCATTAGAATTGTTCCAATAAGGATTTGTACAAATCCTTGGTTCCAACTTTATAGAATTAATTCTAAATATCGCTTTAAAACGATTTTAAGGATAATGAGGTATATATAAGGTATGAATAAAGCAGTGAAATAGTCCTTACAAGTTCATTTATACTGTGATTCCTGGTTAAAAAAAAATGGATCCCAACTTTTGCTGATTAGGAATGTACCCTGAAACTAACTGAAGTGAAATTGTGAACTAGATTTCTAGATCTTATATCCTAATCTTCATATTAAAGTGCCACATCAGTCAAATCATACAGTAACTGCCTAGAATGCCTAAGCCCTTCAAAGTCTGACAAAGATGTATAGATGGTAATATACATCCTAGGTCCCTTGCTGCTACACAAAATAAGGTTGATTTTCATCCCGCGCAAAAGTGACTAAAGCCCTCAAAATCCTAGCTTAAACTCTGGTCTTATGAAGAGGTCATACACACCATTCACTGACATTTCCTTTAAATTCTTGATAACAGACCTATACTCTCTGATTATGAAAATGCACAAGTTAAAAAAAAAAAAAATTGGGGGTTGTTTTTCTATGCCCCCGCAGCGGTGGAGGGGACATTACGTGTTACCCTTGTCTGTCCATACTTCCCAAAATTAGTTTCAGTCCTCAACCAAATGTTATGAAACTTATACACAATGATAACCATAAAACACAGATCAAGTTTGAATTTGGGTTGCATCACTTTTTTCAGTTCTCGAGTTATGCCCTTTTTAACGTTATATGCAAGTGGGGGCATCATCTGTGTCCCATGGAAACATTCTCCATTTATTTGTTTATGTTATCTATGGCTTTTAGTTTTAAACTACTTTGAATTTCAAGCCAGTCCTTTCTTTAAAATTTGCCCTGATAACCAATCAAAGAATCATTGTAAATAATAATGCTGATTAGGTAGAGATGGTTGTCTTTCAAAGTACAACTTTCAAATAGGGATTGAAATGATGCAATGTGCATATTTTAAAAGATTTTAAAGAGCTATCATAACATCCTGTCATCTCTACAATGGCTTCCATTTTCCTGATTGAAAAAAAGAAGATGTACAATGTCAGAGAATACAATTCTAACGACGTAAAATCTGCCTGAACTGGGGAATAAGGATGGTAGGCAAATAAAAGATAAAATCTGAAGTTTTATATCAATAATGCATACTTACTTAAGGAGCATATCTCGTCTTTTTTTATATTCTTTGTCATCTTTCTTAAATTCAAATCCAGTAAATAGTCGTATATTTTTCTTTACTTTTGTTGCCTGTTAATAAATTAGTATATCAAGAATCAATTTATTTCAGCAAACACTACATAACACATGATCAAAATGGATGAGCTGTTCTATGATCACTTGATAAAAAAGTTCAAACTTAAAATGGCTGTCAGGTCTAAAATATATGACGGCTATTGATATTTTAATCAACAAACAATATTCCTATCATAAGATAACTAATATGCTTGTTTGTTGCAAAAAAAATAGCATTCTGTTAATCCTGTCAGGACCTGACATTTATCATCACTTGTTTTATAAATGATTGATTGTTGCTTGCTTAACATCTAGTGGAAATTGTTTCATATATTTTTAGGACGTTTTTTTTAAATAAAGACACTACAAAAATTTACACCAGTTTATATTAAAGAAAAATTAAATGATATAGTTTTGGGAAAAAGTAACAAACATTTTTCATTTGAGGTGACCAAACCCACTAATGCTATACTTAACTCAACCTAACCCACAGTAAAAAGTCTTCAAAACACAAGAGCATATATCAGTGGCGGATCCAGGGGGGGGGGGGGTTCCGGGAGTTGGAACCCCCCTTTTTTTTGGACGATCAATGCATTTGAATGGGAACATATGGTTGGAACCCCTCCTTTATCCTGGGTTGGGAACCTCCCTTTTGAAAATGGCTGGATCCGCCCCTGTATATATAATCCAACTTAACCAAGTTATGTTATGTTAAGGAGCCATGGGAACCACCAACAATGTTAGAATCTGTGAAACTCGCAGGAAAGCAAAGAAACTTGAAACTCATTTCATGGATACTTGTAACTGATAGGCAGCAAAAAAAAAAAAGAAACAATTTGACTAACTAAACTTGAATGCAACAGCATACAATATATCAATAAGTTATTATTAATGTTTCTTGATGAACACTTTTATTCCTAAATCTAAACATTTAAACAATGTAATATTCTGCACACTACAAAGATTAATTTGTGATACTTACGGCTGTTATTTTTCCAAATAAAACCCGGTGTAATGTCTTCAGATCTTCAGCTTTAAATTTGTTTATCTGAAACTCAACTGAAAATAAAATCAAAACAATTAAAATGGAAATACAGTAAGGCCTTGCTTTCAAAACTAATTTTGTATGAATAATACCGTAATCGACTTGTATAGTTAGCACTGGTACATTGTCCGCAACCCCCTTCTCGCCACGAAATTTTAGGTAAAAAACTTAACTGATAGAAAATGTCTCACGAAACTTCGGTAATTTCAAATCTTGTGTGGTCTTTTGTGGCGTTGTTTTCCATCATCAAACACAAGTTGAAACTGCTTGTAAATGGTTCTAGAACACTTCACGATTGTTAAAATAGTCAATATCATACAAAAAGCAATTTAGAAACTTGCATATGTTTAAACCAGAAGTTTGAATAGCACGTGTAAAAGAAAATAAATATGGTGAGTGTACAGAAAAATCCATATTTAATAGATATCACTAGAATACGACTTTGAAAGTAAAACAGTTTTTTGTGTCATGAATATTGTCTTTTCAATCAATGTCAGGAGATGTGTCAGTGAAGCTTATGCTGTATTGCACCATACAATTTTAATGATTCTCTTTATCAAATATGGTTGACATGTTATACAAAGTTACCAAACAGTGATGAAAAGATTATCTCAAATAAAGGGTTACTTTAAAATCAGAAATTATTGCGATTTTTGAAGAATGGGCTAAAATGTGAGATTAATTATTGCGATTTCAGGAAAATCTGGATACACAGTGTTCCAGCTAGGTCGTTTTCACAGGGCGGTCCGCCCGCCCTTTCCCGAGTGCCGCCCTGTGCCCTTTTTACAGTTTGCAGGGCGCCCTGCCTTTTTTGAAGATCGATTGGTATATTATTTTGTTCGTATTGATATGATCAGCCAATTACGAAAATTTACCTGGCGACAAGTATATGACTTTGTTTACGACCCCAAGCTAATTAACGGTTACAACAGGTGTCATAATCTGTTGTTATAGGTAATCCGTTTATCGGATGGGTCATTTAATGATCATCAACATTAATTCATTCAAATAGAATCGGTCAGTCGGCATTTGTCTTTGAACTTGAAGAAATGTTCATACAACTTGGGCACAATTAGCAATGTTTACCGTAGTTTCATGGAGAAAACGTAATTGACAGAAAGTCGAAAACCATAATCAACTCGTTAAAAACATTGCTCTTATTGTTTTCCGTGAAATAAATAGCAAATTAAGACGTATTTTTCATTGACTGCCTTCATTTTTTATACGAAAATAACAAAATTCGCCGCCATATTGTTGATCGTATTTACATCTTCTACGTACTGTTTATTATCCTCCAAAGAAGGAGCACACCCAAATAAAGAAAGATAACTCAATCTTATTTTTTCCTAGCATTGAGTAACCTACTAAGATATTATAAAATATGTCTTCATACTTCTGGCTTTAGAATTTATATGTTTAGGTGTTTTGAGTTAATGGGAAAAGTTAAAGAGGGTCTTAGTAGCAGGGTTGGTAGGGTGCCTTGGTCATCTTTTTCTGTATTTTTTATTTTAAATCCAAATTTTCACTGTTCACTATATCCTAACATTGTGCATTTACAGCTGTTTTGTGCTGTATTGTCATTAAGCACAGAAAAGGTAGAAAGGTGAAACTTGTAAAGTGTGTCAGACCATAGAAACAGAATGAAGCAGGACATTTAAAAAAAAAAAACTGCATATAAAGCTTAACTGTGCCAAGCAATGATTTAAAACTTGTGTCACAAGCTGCTTGATAAGTTTTCAGCCTAAAAAGTAGAAAGATAGTTTTTCTCTGAGCTAATGATGTTGTTCTTGTATATTTATAACCAGTGATTCAATGAACAAACAATGTTTGATTATAATCTTTATTAAAACATGCCCTTTTCATATTATCATATCACGCGTTAAATGCCCTTTTTCAGGATTGGCACCCTGCCCTTTTGAAATCCTAGCTGGAACACTGGGATACAGATATATGTATCAGATAGCAGAATAAGAGTTCTTATTATTGTGATACACTCAGTCCCATAATTTGCATTAATAAAATAATAAATACTTGATATACACTTTACCTCTTGGAATATCACCCAATTTCTCTCCAACACCTTCAGGTATATCTACTTCTTTTGGTTGATTTGGAGTGTTATAAGCTTCTGTCATACTCAGTCTTTCTACTTTCCTTTTCTCTCTTTTCCCAGATTCTATTACCACTGGTTGTTCTAATAAACCCACTAAAAAAATAATAAATAGTATAAATGAACTGCATAAAGGACATGCATAAGTATATAATAAGAAAAACTACATACATGTATGCATAATTTATTTGGGTTTAATCATGCAAAATTACATCTCTGTACATGAACATTAAGTTCTATTTTTGAATTCAAATGTTTACATTTAAACATGTATGCTGCAATGCCAATAAAACTTATTTGTAGATCTGTCCTCCACATTGTATGTATATTTTACAGTTTCCCCGCTATCTATAATAATTTTCAAGATATCAATAGCAAATCACATAAGAACAAAAATTGTCACTCCTTTAGCATGATAAGGGACAGAGGAACAGACAAGTCCTTTCACAAGTGGACGTAAAATTAGAAATACTCATATTTGAAATTTTAATGTCTTGCAATCATCTGAAGGATGTTATTTAACTTAACAGTATTTACTTTTTGTTTGATTTTGAATTTAATTGTCTAATAAAGTTTTAATACTTTCTGCTTTTACTGAATGCAACTGTGTGAATTGCATGATCAACTCTTAGTATATTTTACCTATTTTTGTTCTTTCCAAGTGTTTAATTTCTGTGGTGGACTCAAAGCAAGACAAAACCTCTTATCATTATTGATCAGAAACAGAACAAATCTTACTGGAAAACATGCATAATTTAATTGACATATTATTTACACACACAAAAATAAACAATATTTAACACCTTTATGATATACTTATATAAAGGCAATATGTAAAAGAATAAATAACCGTATACATTTTGGTTCAGAATCTTCTTCTTCTTCCTCCTCCTCCTCTTCTGATTCTTCTTTCTTTGTTTCTCTCTTCTTTTTACTTTTACTTTCTTCAACTTTTTTGGTTGTTTTTTTAGGACTATCTGTTTCCATTTCCTCAGAATTTTCATTTATCTCAGTCTTTTCCGATTTACTTTCTACAGAATCCTCTTTCTTAGATTGTACAGTGTCTTGTTTTTCTGTTTTGTCAGTTTTATTTTCACTGTTATCTTTATCCTCACTACTATCACTTCCATTCACACGAGAATTTTCATTATCATCACTTTCCTGGTCCATTTCTTCTTCTTTCTTATCCTAAAAATGAATAAGGCTATTAAAATCAAAAAAATATAAAGACTAGTCATTGTTTATTGAATAGAGCACACAAAAAAAAAATTGAAATTTGAATTAAAAAAAAAACAAAATGAGAAAACAACTAATAAACAACACAAGTTTACCAAAATAGACATTTATTACTGAAAAGTCATAGTGCAATCTGCAGGGATAATTACGGACGAAAATAAACCAAAGAGGAACTTTAACCCGGACAAAACCAAAGATGATATGACCAAAATTATTAACTTTTATTACTGAAAAACTAGGGCTCACACTACTTCAGAATCATAGGGAGAAGTGACTTCTCTTTTTGAAACTGATACGGAGAAGTGCTACAATGTTTGGTTTTTACTATAATATAAAGGGCCATATGTATCATATTTCTTATTTTTCTTAACATTGTTCAATTCATTCGTACATAATTAAAGTAACAGTTGTTTCAGTTTATGCCTTAAATATTCATATATAGTTGCACAATTATATTAGTACTCTTATTAGAAACTACAATTAAAATTCAAACAAGAGTGCATACTCTGAAATGTCTCGCTTACTATACTGACCATTGATTTTATGTTGATAGTCCTACATATAAAGTTTTACTACAAGTATCACATTAACATTTATAATCTAAGGAAATGAGGTCAAGGTCAGATAAACCAAGGCGGAAATACATGTACACCTTAAATACAATCATTCCATACACAGAATATAGATGGCCTATTGCTTATAGTATAAAAGAAACAGACCAAACCATGGAAATTCTATATTGACCAATGAATCATGAAAATGAGGTGAAGGTCAGATGATACCTGCCAGACAGACATATACACCTTACAATCATTCCATACACCAAATATAGTTGACCTATTGCTTAAAGTTTAAGAAAAACAGACCAAAACACAAAAACTTAACATAAGCAATAAACCATGAAAATGAGGTCAAGGTAAAATAAATCCTGCCAGACTGACACGTACATCATAAAATATTTCCATACACCAAATATAGTTGACCTACTGCATACAGTATTAGAATCAAAGCGCGAAAGCGCTGTAAAGGCAGTTAATTACAGGTTGTGTGTATTTTTAGTCCAGTTATATCATTATCTTGCATAGTACATTGTACTTATCAGAGGTGGCTTTCAGTATTTAAGATTTAGAGTTCTCTAATGATATTGAACAAGTTTTATGAATGTCATATTCTGAGCACTATATGAAGGCGATTGTTCTCACTTGTTTATGAACTAGTGCATTATGTCCACTTTGTACCTTTTTTTATCTATGTTTATAGTCAAATACTGTTTAAAATAGTTTGGCATTTTCTTTTTAGTAATAAGTAAATGTTATCAACTGTATTTTATTGAACTTCGCAAATGTGGTTTGTTACTGGTAGGTACAATGTATGGATGATAGTTGTTTCATTGGCAATCATAACACATCTCCTTATTTATATAAAATGATCTATATTCAACGACCTCAGGTACAAAAAAAATGTATGTAACTAAACTATGATGGGAAACCTTTGACTTCTTTCTTATTATCTAGTTATTTAAACTTTTGATTTGGTACCATAGAACTATGTAGAATAAGGGAAAATTGCAACATGTCAACTCTTTCAATGACAATACTTTTTTTAGAAACTATAACTTCCAAGTATAAAGTAATTTATGAATGAAACAAGAGTGCACACGCTGAAATGTCTCGCCATCTTTACTAATCATTGATATTATGTTGATAGTCCTAAATATAAAGCTTTATTACAACTGTCACATAAACTTAGCATTAACCAAGTAAACTAAACATTGACCAATGAACCAAGAAAATGATGTCAAGGTCAGATGAACCATGCTAGGCAGGCATGTACAGCTAACAATTCTTCCATACAACAAATATAGTTGACCTATTGCTTATAGTTTAAGAAAAACAGACCAAAACACAAAAACTTAAAACTGAGCAATGAACCTTGAAAATGAGGTCAAGGTAAAAAAAAACCTGCGTGACTGACAAATAGATCATAAAATATTTCCATACACCAAATATAGTTGAACTATTGCATATAGTATTAGAAAAAAAGACCAAAACTCAAAAACTTAACTTTGACCACTGAACCATGAAAATGAGGTCAAGTCAGATGACACCTGCCAGTTAGACATGTACACCTTACAATCATTCCATACACCAAATATAGTAGACCTATTGCATACAGTATAAGAAAAACAGACCAAAACACAAAAACTTAACTATAACCACTGAACCATGAAAATGAGGTCAAGGTCAGATAACACCTGCCAGTTGGACAGTCCTTCCATACACCGAATATACTAGACCTATTGCTTATAGTATCTGAGATATGGACTTGACCACCAAAACTTAAACTTGTTCACTGATCCATGAAATGAGGTCGAGGTCAAGTGAAAACTGTCTGACGGGCATGAGGACCTTGCAAGGTACGCACATACCAAATATAGTTATCCTATTACTAATAATAAGAGAGAATTTAACATTACAAAAAATCTCAACTTTTTTTTTCAAGTAGTCACTGAACCATGAAAATGAGGTCAAGGATTTTGGACATGTGACTGACGGAAACTTCCTAACATGAGGCATCCATATACAAAGTATGAAGCATCCAGACCTTCCACCTTCTGAAATATAAAGCTTTTAAGAAGTTAGCTAACGCCGCCGCCGGATCACTATCCCTATGTCGAGCTTTCTGTGTAAAAAGTCATAGGCTCGACAAAAAGGAGTTCTTAATTAAGAAATAAACTGATTCGCTGAGCGCAGCTGGATACACCTGCAGAAGTCCAACCCTGAACAGTTGGGGCATAAATGGACACAATATTCAAGCTTGATACAAGTCTGAATTTGGTTGTAATTAAATATTTCACATATTATAGTTTCTGAATAAATGTAGTCAAAGAACTTGAAATTGGTTATATGAATTGAATTTATATTCAATTAAAGATTTCTTGCTGTTGTGCAATACACTGTGCTGTTGCGCAATACTTAATAAATCTGTTGCCAGACTATAAACAAATAAAGTTCAATTTCTTCTCAATGTCATATTTGAAATTTAGGAAAATCAATAGGGAGATTACATCAATAGCTATAAATAATTCACCAAAGTTTCATGCGAACTGCTTAAAGCATTTTTGAGTTGTTGTCCAAAAACTGGAAAATCCCCCCTTTTTTAATGAATAAAACCCCATAACTCAGAAATGTAAAATCTAAAATTTATAAAATTCTAAAGGGAGCTTACGGATTGATAATTTAGTCTTAGATGCAAGATTTTTTTATCAGTTGTTAGTGGCTTTGAACTATCTGTCAGTAAATGCGAGTACTCTCAGATCTGTACTTAGTGTCTTTTTGTTGTTTGGATGTACAACTACCCGGCCACGTCCACTTGTATTTGTATTTATCCATCTGATGAGTTAAGCCTCTTTCAACTGATTTTTTATCGTTCGTTCTTATATTGTACTGTTACACCACTGTCCCAGGTTAGGGGGTGGGTTGGGATCCTGCTAACATGTTTAACCCCGCCACATTCTGTATGTACACGTATGTGCCTGTCCCAAGTCAGGAGCCTGTAATTCAGTGGTTGTCATTTGTTGATGTGTTGCATATTTGTTATTCGTTCATTTTTTGTACATAAATTAGGCCGTTAGTTTTCTTGTTTGAATTGTTTTACATTGTCATTTCGGGGCCTTTTATAGCTCACTGTGCGGTATGTGCTTTGCTCATTGTTGAAGGCCGTACTGTGACCTATAGCTGTTAATTTCTGTGTCATTTGGTCTCTTGTGGAGAGTCGTCTCATTGGCAATCATACCACATCTTCTTTTTTATATTTACATCAACAGATATAAACAATTCAACAAAGTCAAACTTAGTTGTAGATCTCTGAAATTTTTTACACGGTACAAGTTTTTCTAATTGTTGGAGATTGTACGGTGACAGTAACACCTGTAACTGCTTAACCCATTTCTTATGCACTTTGCTTCGATAAACTCACTGAATATCATACCACATCTCCTTATTTTTATATGCATTACAATTTACATGTGCATGTAATTGTAAATAATATTTATATATATATATCAGAACAAACTTCATTGTGTCACTTTTATTTATGCATCCTTTGGCACAATACAAGTTCTAAAATTACACAACATAAAACAACTAAATGTTATTTCAGATGAAAGTTTTGTTTCAGTTCCATTCATAGGATTTATTAGAATTTTGTATGTTTTGCCAAGTCCAATAATTAGCTCTATGTGCACGTGTTAATTGGAGACTTTTCTATCCCGTATAAGAGTTTTGGAACTAATTCTGTTTCTTTTTTTGAAAAAAGTGAGCAAACAAATCTTGCACATTTAAACCTTTGTCTGCCATCACATTGTTACCTGGATCACATAATTGAACTATTCTACATCTTTCAACTATTTCACAGTCACTGGTACAACTAACATATGCATTAGAGACATAGTTGACTAATCCACCAGGTGTCGAACATACAAGTATTTTCAGTGTTTCTGTTTTTATATGATGAAAAGGTTGCCTGAGCTCTAGGAGCTTTAGGTTTTATCACGGGATATTCTGTGCTGTCAATAATAATCCAAGTTGTAGGAAACTTTAATTTGAAGTTGGATGGCGAAAAATACCTGACTAAACCACTTAATGGCCAAGTGTTAGCCTCACGCCACTGTTTAGACATATAAACAATCCATGTTTACACAATATTCTTAACACTAGTTTCAATCTAGAATCTAGACAGTTCAAAGTTGGTTGTATAATGCCTCAATTTCATCAAAGTCATAAAAAAACTGATTTTCAAATGACACCCTATCAATTTGAAAATATATGTATCTCAAACAATGTGCTGCTGGACCAAGTGTGGTGAAAACAAATAAAAATTTAGTATAAAACTCTAAACCGGTATAAAAATGCATGGCTGTGTCACGTGTCTTCATTTCAAAATTCTCTGCT